AATAATTCATAAACTAATTACAAATGATCTTATAAATATTTATAACACTTTAAGATGATTTTATAAACACTTTAGATCATTTAATGTTATTAATGTTTATAAATTCACTTTTATTTCTTATTAAATCATTTATAAATGATTTTATACTCTTATAAACAACTATCTTGTAATGAAAGAAGCTTGCAATGATTCTAGAAGATATTGTAGTGATTGCAACTGAATTTAGTCTTACTTCTGACATTAGCTGGTTATCACAGTGGCAAAAGAATCGTCCATTTTCAATGGCAATCTTCTCCATCCAAATCTTGATAAATTGGTGGGTTATTGTATCGAAGATGATCAAAGGCTGCTCGTTTATGAGTTCATGCCTCGAGGAAGTTTGGAGAATCACCTTTTCAGAAGTAAGTTAAGTTTAAATCTTCCTCTTGTGTGTTGCTACTCATAATAGTAAGTGTTAATGAGTTAAAGGTTACTCCATATTCTCAAAAGTTGGAACATTTCTACACTTACATTTGTTTAAAGTTGGAAACTTTCTACTTCCAAATCTTAGATGGCAGGTCGATGTTTCTTGAACTTGTACTTGTGTGTTGTTGAAGGGTCGTTGCCTCTTCCATGGTCGATTCGGATGAGGATTGCTATCATCACATAATGTGATAACATATTCAAAACTCATGAAATTTGTTACTGCATTTGTAGTTCTGCAATTTGCTTTTAATCATAGAATGCTGAGAACGTTTTGATGTGGGTTTATAGAGAAGCTTTCTATGGGGTTCTGGGATCTTTTTTGGATCAAATCATTCCTTGGACTTCCTTTTTTTCTTTCGTCGTAAGTGTATTAAGAATATGTTGCGTAAATGTTTTGACTCTTGTCTCTGTTTCTGATATCTTGTTCCATGTTTTTGATACCATGTTCAGTTTCATGCGCTCATTTGGATAACCAGTTTCTGCTTTGTATATATAGTGATACTTTATGTGTAAATTACAGAACTTGACATGAAGTATGAGAGAGAAAGGAAGGAACAAGAAAGCAAGAAGAACCAAAGGCTTGATTTTGTTTCTGTTGGTACTCAACCTGGGACGGTTTCCCGGAACCTGGAACTTGACATGAAGTATATATATGTTCCTCTGTTGAATCCAAGACCAGCAAGAACTAGAGTTGCTTCTTCTGGTGTTAGTGGACACCTTCTGGGAAGTACGTAATATCCGCAAGCGAGAACACTGGGTGGCTTCTAATGGATTTTCTTTACTTTTTTGGGTCAGTCAAAAATTACTGCTTCTCCTTTGTACATCTGTTAGCTACAGTTATAGATATAGCTCAAGAGGGAGTATGACGATAACTAGTCTAGTTTTTTATTTTATTTTTTATTTGTTTTGCAGTAATGTTTTTGATCCTCGGCAGATGCGTGTCTCGATATATAAACATTTATAAATTATAAACATTTATAAATGATTTATAATCCTTGTAGCTGAAAATAGGATTAATTAGACTTGACGTTTATTCTTCTTATCACCACATTCAGATTCAGAACCCGAGAGAATAAGAACAAGAACCATGAAAAAGATTAAAGTTCATAAGAGAAACTTGATGGTAACTTTTACAAAGAAATTTTACTAACTGGGACAAACAGAGATTGCAGAGATAACATCAGTGTTCGTTGTTGTGTTACAGGGATATGGTGCTTAGTTGCCTTCAATTTTCTTCTTTTATATATTTATTATCTCTTTATACAAGAAATCTAAACTTGTTTTTACTTTTTAGTATTGTTTCTGCCATTTGATATCTAATTATTGAACTATGATTATAAATGACTTATACAATGATTATAAACTACTTTAGAAAGGCTTATAAAGTTATTTATAAAAAAAAATATAACTAGTTATAAGGGTTTATAAAATCATTTATAAGGGTTTATAAAATCATTTATAAGGTTTGTAAACTGATTTGTAAATGTTTATAAACTAATTTAATAAGGTTACTAAGTTAATGTATAAAAAGCTTATAAAATGATTTATAAAGGTTTATAAGTTAATAGTTTATAAACTAATTTATAAAGGCTTATAAACTAGGGAAATTTGGACTCATGTACATAGCTCACAAAATATTAAGTCTATATCCATAACAATAACATGGATTTGATATGTTATATAATGTTCTATGAATATCCAAAAACACACTTCTGTTGCGCGTGAAAATGAGAAAACACACTTCTAAAAACTTTTATGAACTTTATAAATGTTTTATAATTCCTTATAAATTATTTACATGCCTTTATAAACCTTGTAAATAGATTTATAAACTCTTATAAATGGGTGATAAGTTCTTATACATGGTTTTATAAACCCTTATAAATAGTTTTATAAACCCTTATAAATAGTTTTATAAACCTTTATAAGTAGTTTATAAATATTTATAAGTCTTTTATCAACTTCTTAGAAGGTTCATACAAGGTTTTATAAACTCTTATAAACACACGTAAATAGTTTTATTAATCATTATAGATGTTTCGTTTGCAAACACAAATAATCCATCGAAGAATATGTAGATAAAATAAAAGATGGATCAAACACAAGGTATGTCTATAACTTTCAAGTGTTATCAAATTCAGCATACTGTGATTCTTATTGTAGGAAAAAATTGCAGAGAAAATAAATCTATAGAAGAGGAAAAGAAAAGGCTGATGAGCAATGCTCCTAGTGTTACAGATGCACATACAATGAAAAACTCTGCAAAAGTGACGGAGAAAACGTTGGTCAGAAGATTAAAGGAGTTCAGGTACATGTTATGTTTTCCTCTGTTCCAAGAAAATTGCAGGTCGAATAAATGGAGGCTGCATGTACACAACAGACTGGTTGTTGGATTCATGCTCTTCAGATTGCATGTAATAAATTCTCAGTGGCTCTGTCTTCATTGAGCAAGAGTGAATTAAAAAGTGAAGCTTCTGTCGATAAGCAACTAAAACCTTATAAAATCCAAAAATCTTATAAAATTTTATGTTGTTGACAAACTTTATGGAATAGATTTAAAATAAGAGTACATATAAAATCATTTTATAAGGATTTATAAATTATTTATAAGGTTTAAAGTCATTTATAAGTGTTTATAAATAATTTATAAGGGTTTATAAAACATTTATACGGTATCTACATTTATAAGAGTTAATATAGTATATATAAAAGTTTATATATTATTTATATAGGTTTATAAGGGTTCATTAACTGATTTATGAAATCTTATAAACTAATTTATAAGAGATTTTATTTAATTTACAAGAGTGTATAAATTAATTCATAAAGGTTTATAAATTGATTTATAACACTTTATAAAATATCTACTAGATTCTATATGTTAATTAAAAAAAGTCAAGTCCTATTAAATATGCTAACAACATAAAGCATATAATGTTATTAATACAAACAGCTTCATAACAAGTGAAAAAAGAACATTATTGATAACAGACTGTTTCCACTAGAGTGTTCAACATCTCATGATTTTGTTGTGCCAAGAGCATTTCTGAGATTAGAGTACTTAGTTTCAAGCTCATACCAATCACCCAAGTTCACCAAACGATTAAACTCCTCGAAAGTAATCATCTTTTCCAAATGATCTTTAGTTGTTCATTTTTCCTTGAGGATCTTGAGGACGTCCACAAGAGCACGAGTTGATGCATAGAGTGAGGTAAGCGGGTGAGCGATCAAATGAAAACCCATTTCTTTAAGCTCATCAGGTGTATGTAATGGTGTGCGTCCACCTTCAAGCATGTTATATAGTATGTAACCTTTTGTACGCTTTCCGATTTCCTTAAGCTCATCGTCGTCTCTTGGTGCCTCAACAAAGGAAGCATCAGCTCCTGCCTGCAAATTTAATTCCAATCTGTCTTTTATTACCAACATAATAAAAGACATAATATGATTAAGTAGTAACCTCCATGTAGAGATTAGCACGGTCAATGGCGTCTGAAAGGCCTATCAATTCCTTATTCTTCAAGTTTGTTGCTCTCACTACTGTTACTATAAGCTTCCCCTGTGGTTTAAGTTCTAAATCACTGTAACAGAGAAAGATACAGAGAATAGTCAATATTTAAAATGATTTCTCCATATACCATTGCTCTGAATAGTCATTCTGTTCAGATTGTGAACACACATGTATGTCAGCACACCAAAAAGAGTTTCCATAAAACACAGTCTTAGCTAATAACACTATTGAGAAACTATTTACCTCACTAGTTGGGGAAACTAAAGATATGAAAGAGGCAAAAGGATGAGCTTCTTGCTGTACACCAGAGAGCCATAAATGAGACATGAAATAATCGGAAGGATGACCTCATGACCATGCTCCGGATGATGAAGGACAAACATAGCCCGGGAGGCTCCTGTGAAACTATAAAAGTCAGATAATGATCAAACACACCCATTATTGTATCAAGTCAAAGTCAGCTAATGATCAAACTCAACCATTATTGGAAAAAAAATAGATGAGGTACTATGGAACAGGGACACTAGTAAAGTGTAATATAGTGTTGCATTGTGATCATATATATTCACTCTTTCTCATCCAAGAACTTCAATGCTGCTGAATCGGGATAGAGAAATTTCAAAGCAGACAGCAAAATACAAATGTAGTGGTCTTGTTTAACTCAAGTCCCATAAAATAGAAAGAGACAAAGCTGATGAGAACAGTGACAATTTCTGAGTTTTTTCAGACTACAAGCACCATATACAAGCGCAAGTGTATAGTTTAAACTCAGGAAATTATAATTGCCAGCTAAAAAACAAAACAAAAAGAAGGATGATTATCAATGAAAAGTCTCAGAAAAAATCCATTGAATTCAAAGAAATTGCAGAGTATCTACCCATTGAATTCAAAGAAATTATAAATTGCAGCATCTACCCAGATTTACAAGTGATTATAATTTTTTTACTGTAAGTTAACCATTGAATACTCTTCCTCTTAGATTGAATTTCCTAAATCACTATCCTAAATCACTATCACTGTAAACTCTTAAACTCATAAATCACTATCTTAAATCACTACCACTATAAAACATAAAGATAAAGTTATGAAAAGCAGAATTTTTTTGGATTATGAATCTCGATCTAAATTTTTAAACGTGACACAACAAAAGTAAAAGAATCGAAACTTAAAGATGAAGATGAAGAAGGAACAGATTTGAAACTCGAAGATGAAGATGAATCTCCAGAATCGAAGATGAAGATGAAGCTTGGAGTTGGTGAAGAAGATACGCTCAGAATCACGAGTCAAAGGAGAATCGTGGTGATGATAAAGCAAGGATAGATTTGAATCTTCATTTTCTGTAATCGAGAGTGTGATTGCTTTTGTCGCCGGTTACGTGAGAGAGTATATTTTTTTTGTATCGCCGGCGGAAGCTTTCCCAGAGAGAAAGATAGTGATTCGGAAGAAACCTAATAAGTTAGGGTCACTTTAGTCATTTGCATATTAATAAGTTAGGTATTTATGAAAATGTCCTTGTATAGAAGGTAAAAATGAAAAATGGTACATGGAATGTGGTAAAATTGAAATTCTCCCATTAAAAAATCATTTAATTTTATATATCTTCAAAATAAAAATATAATTATATATACACCTAATCACATTTTAACCAATGAAAATTAGATAATACTAATAAATTATACATTGAAATTACAAAATGATACTTTTTAAAAATAAATTTATTTTTCTAAAACAACAAATAGGAAGGAGTATGATATAAGACGACAAAAACCAAACAGATATATTGAAGGCATACTAGAGGTAAAGTCCACAAGAGCTGCTTCTCTTTACATCATGTGATATGTACAAACAAAGAAACAACTACTAAATAAAGTAAAAGACGACTTCTAATGAACATCTAAGTTTCATACCATTTCAAAGATGATTTAAATACCAACGACCCATGTCACTACCAAACTACCAACAAGAGCTTTACATAATATTGATGTTATTGTTACTAGTTTGAACTACAAACGATTGTTTTCCTAATTGGTTTGGATCAATAATACAAATTTTTAGATTGGATGGTTCTCACTTGGAGTTGTGCTGATGTGTGATTGGACAATGATATGGTCTCAACTAATTTGCTAAACTTGGTTATGTAAGGTTGTTTGCTACATATATATCAAAGGCTGGAATACTGTAAATCACTAAGCAGTCTAAGTTTTTAAATTAAAACAAAACCAAATATGAGCCAGAGAGTATGCATGTCTTGTTGTGCTTATTATTAACATATCAAACGAAGAAACAAACCAAAGCTCTAACGTGGAGAAACTGGAGAAATGATAGTAGAGCAAACAGACGGGAAACGAAAATGCCTTCCTTTCTGAATATGCAATTTTGGTATCTCCACAACTCTTCTTACACCCGTAGTTACTTCACCAACATCATCATCATCAGCTCCCAAAAGATCGACCACAACAAGTTTACAATCTGGAGGCTCATTCACAGGAACTCTCCCTTCAAGCATCTCAACCACCATAGCCATATCAGGCCTATTCTTAGCCTTCTCCTGTATACACCAAAGCGCCACACAAACCAACTTCATCACTTTCCCTTCATCATCAACATCCTTAGCTTCTATCAACCGTTGATCCACAATCTCCATCACTCTCCTCTCTCTCATCTTCTTGATCACAATCCTCGGAAAATACTCCAACTTCTTCTTCTTGCTCTTCTTGTTCTCTACCCTCGATATACTCCTCCTTCCTCCGATCATCTCTAGCAACACGATCCCATAACTGTAAACATCAGACTTCTCAGAGATGCCGTGTTCTAGAATCCACTCTGGAGCTAGATACCCGCACGTGCCACGTATCTCCGTCACAACTCGGCTCTCATCTCGAGCAACAAGCTTAGAGAGTCCAAAGTCCGTTACCACCGCTCTATAATTCTCATCGAGGAGAATATTCTCTGGCTTAACGTCAAGATGCAAGATCTTTGACCTACAATCATTGTGAAGATAAGATAGGGCTTTGGCTACATCTATTGCAACTTGGTACCTTTGGTCCCAAGTCAAACATCCTCTGAGTTTTCTGCTTCCTCCTCTGTCCGGAAATATCCACACATCGAGAGACGAGTTCGGTATATAATCATAGACTAAGAATCTGTAACGATTCACAGATGAATAACCGTAAAGCCGGACTAGATTCTTGTGCTGCACGGAAGCTATAGCAGCTACTTCTGACCTAAACTCTTTTTCTCCTTTCTCTTCTCCTTCGATTCTCTTCACAGCTACTTGACTTCCATCTTTCAAAACTCCTTTGAACACGGAACCTGATCCTCCTTTCCCGATCTGGAGTCTGAACCCGTCGGTGGCTTCTTCAAGATCGTCGAGCTTGAACTTCGTTGGGACTCCGGCGACTTTTCGGAGGAAACTGTACTCGATTCTTAGCTCTCTGCCTTCTGAGATGTATCTTGACTCGAGGTTTTTCCTCTCTCTGTTGTAACGGTTTCGGATTACGAGGAAACAGATCACGGCGAGGATCAAGGAGATGTCGACGCCGGCGATGAGGTGGAAGGTTTTGGAGAGTTTTAGATAAACTCGTGCGGCGATGATGACTATGATGAGGGCTAAGATGGTTGCGGTAGCGAGTATTTTTGCTTTCTTGTCTTCCATTACAAGGGATTTAGAGCTTGTTTGACTTCATGTTTTGTTTTTCAGACAGAACATCGTGACATGTGAGCTGAACAAAGAAGAGTAAGGAATTATTCAAACTAAATATATGAAGACAGATTATATTTTATCGTTTTTTTTGTTATATTTTGAATGGTTATAGTTGACAAAGAAAAAGAAGGGTAATAAGTTTACAAATATTAAAAAGCTAACATATAGTTGCTGAATTTGTGGCCAGATATAGTAATATATGTTTGTTTTTTTTAGCTAAAGGATCATTGATTTAAAACAAGTTTACAGTGTCATTATAAAACTACAAAAGAATTATTATAGTAAAAACAATAAAATTTATTCGATCATGTTTTCTGTTTTGTTAAAGATTATTTAATAAAATATAATAGAATTTGTATTTTTATATAGAGACGTGTACATATGCAATGTACAAATATGTATAGGTTAGACTGGTCATAAATTATCTCAAAGAGGCATATCTGTTAGTTGTTTCAGGATGTATTGTTCGAGTTTAATAGGTCCAGTATTCACATCGTTAGGAAATAATTGTCATTCTGGGTTCTATGTAAGTTTAAGAATTTAAAGCTTGAAAAGTTGCTGTAGTGTGTAGTTTTAGTTCATATACATGTTTTGGAGAAGAAATAAATGAAACATAAAAATACGGTGATGTGGAATATTTCTATATGTTTGGTGATGAAATCAGAAGATATATGATGCTAAAATATAGGAAAATAATATATTAGATAATAGAAAAAAATATTTAATATATATTTAACTTTTACCTAATTTGGGATTTGGGTTTTTATCGTTGTAATTTTCAGAAAGAAACACAAAGGATTTTGGAGTTTCATAGCTAAGTGGATTGGAAGATTTAATCAACAGGTGTTGATTAAGCAAATTGGGTGTGTTAGGATTCGATCCGTGTTGAGTCGTATAATTCAAAACAAGCAAATGTATAAAAGATTGTATAAGAACTTTTTATTAAGAGATAAGTGTTTCTCGAATTACTTTGTGCTTTGTGTTTTCTATGTATCTCGATTTTACATTTTGATATGTGAATTGTTGTTTTAAAAACTTTTAAACGGTTTGAAAATTGCTTTTCCTAAGTATTTATTGGTAAGGACGTGGCCATTTGTTGACTTTGACAGCTGAAATGGAATAATATAAACATGAAGCTGGCTTCGGAGACTACTAAACATGCTTTGATCGGGGACTGACTCGCGCTCACGTTTCTCTTTCATTTACATAATTTTATATAAATACGGGCTTGAACCTTAGCCATGGAGAATTATGTCCTCTTCAATCAAGTTTACTGTTGAGTATACAAAAACTAATATAAATGTGTATCTGTAATTGCATTAGAAAACTTCGTTTTGTTTTGTTTATCCGTGATTCATGTTTGTCTTTTTCTAAGTCAACGCTTTGTTGTCGTTAGTTAAAAGTTAAAGCCCTTTTAGCTTTTTTGCTTTCTTCTTTTCGTTCATCACATCTAGTCAACGGAAATCAGCAATACGGAATCACTCCCCATTGGTTAGCCGACCTATGCTTCGATTTCATATTTTCATTTTACAGAAGAAAGAAACAATTCCATTCACCAATAATTTTAAACTTTTAACTTAGTAAAAAAAATTCAACCAAAAGAAAGAAATAAGACAGATCAATACCGAATTGAGGCTCAATAAATTGTTTTAAATAAGTTGCTTTTTTCAAATACAGTCGTATTTCTAAGTAAGGATTTTGAATAATTGGATATGCCAGCAATAAAAATATGACATCGATATACTTTGATAAGTTCGTTGGCTATTAATGTTATAGCATACATTCCAGAACTGTTCTAAGAAAACATATATTCCAGAATAAAAATTTGCTTAAGCATTTATGTAACAATTGAAAATTCTATAAATAAATAAGAAGTCCATTGTCATATGAACGCGAACTTTGACTTGAGGAAAAGACATGTGCACCTTCAAGTTCGCTGCAAGGCTCCAAACAAACACAAATCTTGAAGTTTTGAAAAAGCTTTATCCCTAGTGGTTAACTTGTCAACGCTCGATGTCTTGATTTTTAATGTATCCATGAAAAGCCAGAAATTATTACATACATGTAACTTCTTGTAGTATGTGATTTTAAACGGGTTTTCTCAACTTTTTCATGAAACTAGTTGATCATGTGGGACACTGATATATTTCAGCTAAGTAGGAAACTTTTGGTTTAAGATCAAGATATATAACTAACAAGATATTTACATTTGAGATATATCTCCGAGGTATGATTCTTTTCAATACAACTTGTATATGCCTACAAGATATTGTACATTTTGAAAGCAAAGTTCGCTGATCATATCCATCATAACTTAAGGCATAACTTCAGGAGTTTGAATATGCAACATTAAATGGCTATGAGGACATGATGCTTTGACTTTTGAACACTTATATATAGATTTGTTGAATCTATATATGATGAATAGAGAAGCTTATATACATGCAAAGTTGTCACAGAACCATATAAGGAGACATCGTTAGTACAATATTTGTTTCCAAATCCGACTCAAGCTCAACGATGCAGAGGTTACAGATTAGTTCTCGGCCATCAGAAGAGTTTCTGATTAATATCTCGTCGGATTCTTCAAGCTCCGACGATCTCGTGGTCGCCAAGAAGGAGATGATGCCTCAGAGTAATAGTTACAAGTCTGTTAATGGAGAGAGAGCTATTCATATAATCCCTCTTGTTCTGTTTCTATGTGCTCTTGTTCTTTGGTCTTTTTCAAGTGCTACTACTAATCTCAAATGATGTACGTGAAGGAATAGACCTTTGTTAATTTGTGATCATTTGGTAACGATAATATATGATTTTACAATATTTGCAAATAATACAATATTTGCAAATAATATTGGATTCTTTGTCTATGAAATTTTAATACAATTATGGCCCTCTTAAGTAATCAAAAACACAATGTTGTTGTTTCAATTTTTTTTCCTTAACATACAGTATCTGTAATTATGTAATAAAATTAACCGGAAACAAAAGTTCGGTTTTGTTTTACCGGATAAGTAACTAAACCATTTCAAATTCGGTTCATAAATTGGATTCGGTTTAATTCTCCAAACCTAACCGAACTGAACCGTACTTCTCTAATCCACTTCGCTCACTGTCTTCGTCTCTCTTCGAGATGAGCTTTTGCGCGGGTCAATCCTTACTTATCAAACGTCTTCAATCATCAAGCTTTGAAGCTTCCTTTTAACATTCGAATAAACCTCTAAATGGTGACTAGCAGCGGCTTATTCTTTACCCGTACATGTTACTTAAGGCTACAACCTCCGTGCCTCGTATTACGCCGGAGATTCTGTGCTTCCTCTGTTTCTCTGAATGGGAACATTTCGAATAAGAAGAGAAACTCAGAGAAGGAGAAGGTGATTGTGATTTCTGGTCCCACCGGCGCAGGGAAAAGCAGACTTGCCTTAGAGCTAGCTAAGCGTCTCAACGGAGAAATCATCAGTGCTGACTCTGTTCAGGTCTGGCCTTATCTCTACTTGTGTACTCTCTGGTTAAGTGATTATAGCTCACTTGGAGTGACTAGGACTCTGAATTTGAATCCTTGTTTAGGCCAAGACTGGTACTTTCAGTTCAATTGTCTTAGGAGACAAATATATATATTCTAAATGGTTGGATCCAGTTGTGTCTGAAATGCTGAAGTTTTTTTTTTTTTTTTTTTTTTAAGTTGAAGTTCCTTTCTTTTCTTAGTTTTGATTCAAATTCCACAGCTTTGGTTATATCAAAAAGGCTCTTGCTTTGTGTTTGATTTAAAACAGGTGTACAAAGGCCTTGATGTTGGATCGGCGAAGCCATCAGCAAGTGATAGAAAGGTATCCTTCTGATATATATAAATTTAGTAAGCTTTATTCATTTTTTTAATCTGATGTTGGTGGCATGAATCAAAGTGTATACCTTTGAGCTTAACATTCTATGTTTATGCAAATTATCCAGGAGGTGCCTCATCATCTTATAGATATTCTGCATCCGTCTCAAGGTTTGTCTACACTTCTTATTTCTACTCTGTTGATAGTACTTCTGATACTTATTTGCTTAATGCTTTGATTAGACTATTCTGTGGGGCAATTTTTCGAAGATGGAAGGCAAGCTACTAAAGACATACTTAGTAGAGGGCGTGTTCCTATAGTTACAGGTGGCACTGGATTGTACCTGCGATGGTATGGCATGATATACTTGTCTTGTGCAGTTTTGTATACGTTAAAAGCGATATAGTTTCATCAATATCATGCTGTCTTGGTAATGTGTTAGGTTTATCTATGGGAAGCCAGATGTGCCGAAACCTTCTCCAGAGGTCATCTCTGAGGTTCATGATATGCTAGTTGATTTTCAGACCGATCATGACTGGGATGCAGCTGTTGAGTTCGTGTTCAATGCTGGTGATCAAAAAGCAACTTCTTTAGCTCGTAATGATTGGTACAGACTTAAGCGTAGCCTCGAGATACTCAAGGTTTGACAATGATTTGATCATTTGAGATAATATTATATAGCTAAATGAGACTGTTGTGCTGCTTTTAAAACTTGTTTATTTGTTTAACATGGCAGTCTACTGGATCTCCACCGTCTTCTTTTCGTGTTCCGTATGATTCTTTTCGAGAAAGTTTGAATTCTCCTCCTGATGCCAACGACTTTGATGAGAATGGTTCATCAGCTGATATCTCTGTTCAAAACATACACACAGATTTGGAATATGACTTCCTTTGTTTTTTCTTGTCAAGCCCACGGATTGATCTATATAGATCTATTGATTTCAGATGCGAAGATATGCTCTCAGGTCAGTAACTGCAGCTACTTAGTTTTAGTATATTAACGTGTAAGGATAACAATGGCATGCTATTTGCGGATTCGTATGCAGTTTTGCTCTTCTGAGTTTATGTTTGCTTTGATGCTTATGGTCTCTCATCTTTCAGGTGCGGATGGAGTTTTGTCAGAAGCTAGGTGGCTTCTTGATCTTGGTCTACTTCCAAACACTAATTCTGCAACTCGTGCCATTGGGTACAGACAGGTGAAAACTCTTTATTATCTGTATGATGACTGCACTTAGCCAAGGGTTCTGCAAAGGTGGAAACATGATTCCTCGTTTTTCAGGCTATGGAATATCTATCAAAATGTCGGCGACAAGGAGGTGTAAGCTCCCCTGGAGAATTTTATAGTTTTTTGAACAAATTTCAGCAAGTATCTAGGTGATTCCCTCTACATAAAGACATGAACTAGTGTACACATAGGCTTCTGCCCACGAATTCATATTCAGTTTGTTTGTTTGATTGATGTGCAGGAACTTTGCAAAAAGGCAAATGACATGGTTCAGGTGTGAGCCTATGTATCACTGGCTTAATGCTTCTAAGCCTCTGGTATATATATACATACATACAAGTGTCTGATTCTATTCAGTCTCTCTTATGTAACTATTGGTTTGCTGGTGATACAAAAATTTGTCCTCCTTACAGGATACAATACTTGAGTTCATTTATGATGCTTATGAGAAGGAATCAGAGACGCTAGTGGTGCCAGATTCTATTAGAATGAACAAAGACATGAGAAACTCTCGAGAAGCTAATGCACTAAAGGCCTACCGCCCTAGAAATAGGTACAAAGAAGATTCAGTTAATTTAGGCATCTTTTTTTTTGTTGGTTATTATATTTTCATTTTGGTTGTGGGTGTGAATCTGTTTTATGAAGGCATTTCGTTGGAAGAGAGGACTGTTCTTCGGTATTGGAGTGGATCAGAAGTGAAGGATGTAAGAGTGAAGCTTCATGCGTGGAAGGAGTAGCAATGTAACCCACTTACACACTTTCTTTCTGTTCCGGAGAAGCCAAGAACCAAAACAGCAAGAGTGTTTTTCTCTTATGAATGTATGAGTAGACAAGAGTTTAGATTTGTGTTTCTTAATAAATAAAACATTTTCTCGTCTGCATTTCACTTTCAATCTCATATTCACTCCCATGTAAAGGATCAATCTAGGATTATTTTATTTTAGATGATTTCATTTGAAATAGTTCTGAACAAAATTTAAACAGCTGGTGCCATGATCCACTGTGAATCAAGAAAAAGTAAATAAAATACCGCAAGACAACGATTATTATAAGCCAAAAGAGTATTATATTCAAAAGTGTAGTGGGAATAATTATGCAAGCCACCTGACCTGATCGTCCCCATAACGCTTTTTTTTGTTTTCTTTTGGCACACCTGAACACGCACATTGCTCGTGCTGCTCACCAACAAGAATGTATAAATCCGGATTCGTCGTATTGTTTTGTTCTTTTTAGCGTTTTTTTTCTTTGAACATGTAACGTCTTCTTTGTCAAAAAAAAAAAACATGTAACGTCGACGAAATGATGAAACTGGTAATGACTTCCCTACTCTATTTTTGTGTGTGATTATTTTTTCACCCATTTATCAAATAAAAGCAAACAAAAGGCCATTTCTCATGTGGTTTGATGGATAACACGCCAAAGCCCAACGGGTGTTATATAAGTCGACAACTTTGAGCTATTGTTTTCTTTTCTTCTTCATTTTCGATTCTTTTCCTTTAGAATTAAAACTGGCTAAAGTTATATGGATTTTGTTTTGGCTTGCTGACGTGTAAAAAGCCTAAACTTATATTTTTTTTTCTAATTATATTTTGCATATAAGTTTTTTTCTTTCTTTGCCCCTTTGATCCTTGTTTGGTTGCCCAGAAAAATTAAAAATAGATGAAGCTTTGTTGTTGTGTTTGTGGAAGCAGAAGAAGAATGATGGCTTTCTTTGCGTGCTAAACATTTACTGACCAAACTTCTTTTCTTAAGGTAAAGAATTTTTAATTGAAATTATGAGTTTTTAGTCTCTTGATGATGTCCATGAAAAATTTAAAGAGATTGTTTTCCCCTAATTAAAATCTCAGTAAAGATTGATCTTAAACAGAAAGTCATCACACTTTCAATTTCATTAAACAATTGATGACTTTTCTGCAATCTAGTGATTATGAAGCAAAAAGAATCTGAAACGTTTATGACATTAGAATTGAACTTGAAGTTTCAGGATGTGACAGATTCTCATGGATCTACTGCTCCAACTTATATTTGATGTATTTCTTTGCAATGGATCATCATAAAAAATATTTTTGTAATTTACTGCCTGTTTCATTACATGTCTGCTTTTATCTTGTTTTGTGGTTTCAGAAAAAAACAAGTTGAGTCTTAGCTTATGTCATGTTAAACTCTGATCTTATAAGCAGTTGGAATGTGAAAATATTTTCTTTTTTTTTTTGAAAAAAAAACAGGGATCATGAGATTCAAGAAAGGCACTAAAGTAGAAGTGTTGACCAAATCATCTGTTCCACCTGGTGCTTGGAGATCTGCTGAGATAATATCAGGAAATGGGCATTACTACACTGTCATGTATGATAGTGATGAAGGTATTACAGAGAGGGTACCTAGGAAGAGTATGAGACCTGAACCTCCTCCTCTACAAGTCCTGCATTCTTGGGCTCCTGGTGACGTTCTTGAAGTTTTTGAAACTTGTTCCTGGAAGATTGCAACAGTTTCCAAGGTTTTGGAAGATGATTGTGTCTTGGTTAGATTACTTGGTTCCTCACTGAAGGTGAAGGTAAACAGGTGTGACATTCGGGTTAGACAGTCTTGGCAAGACAACGAGTGGATCACAGTCGGGCAGGTACCTCTTGTTTCTGTCCTCTATTAATGTATAATATGCATCTTTCAATGCCTTTTTTAAGCTGACACTTTGTTTATACCATTTGGCTAAAGGGTTCATCGAGATTAAGCGCACAGACTTCAACAGGGAAGTTAGAGGGAAAGATGAATCCGAATGACCATTATATTTCATCTGAGAGCAAAGAGAAACTCAATGAGTCTAATGTACTTTCAACTAAAGGTCCAAAGAAACGAACCTATTCTTTGGTAGAACCACACAATCCACTAAAGTTTCTTGAAGGAAAAGAAGAAGAAGAAGACGATAGAGAGAGTGTTGCATCTTCTGTTGGTAGTTGTAACATGGCCATTAATGGTTTAGCTATTGTCTCTTTCGGTCCAATTGAAACCGGCAACTCTAGTGACACAGAGTCATCCTCTTGTGGACACAGAAGCATCAAGATCAAGAAGTCTAACTTTCCAGCAAAAAACTCAGAAGCTGGTGATGTTCATAGGTTAGAGCTGGATGCATACCGATGCAGCATTGAGAGATTGCACGCAGCAGGACCTAACATAACATGGGAACAAGAAACCTGGATCACAAATCTCCGTCTGAAGTTGAACATCTCCAATGAGGAACATCTGATGCAGATAAGAAACCTCATCTCTGATGATAACAGTACAGCGTACAGATAGCAAGCGCATCATTGACAACTACAACTTGTGTAACATTGAATAAAATGTTAGAGTGTAGGTTGTACAAATGTCATATTGAAAATGTTTACTTTTTTTTCGTGTGGTGTTGGACTTGAGGGAGACCTGCAAAGTATATATTTAGTAGATGATTCCTGCAAGTTTATGAGTTTCATATCTCATCCTAGGGATGGGCATTCGGATACTCATTTGAGTTTGATTCGGGTCTATCTGGATTTTGAGTTTTTGAGTTTAAAACTTTAAAACTCATTCGAGTATTTATAAATTTTGGTATGCATACGGATAACCCATTTAAATTATTTTAAAATTTTTAAAAATCTAAAAATAAAAAATATTATATATCATAAATTTGAATAGTGTATATAAAATACCTAAATTTAACATAAAAATTGAATTGACTAGAATATTTGGATGGATAATCAATAGATATTTGGATTAATTTTGGTGTTGTAAGTATTATTTAGCAATTATAGATATATATTTTTGACTATTTGTATATATTTTCAAATATTTTAGACAACTTTAAAATATTTTATACATTTTGGATACGGATTCTAAAATAGCTAACATATTCAATCAAGTTTATAAATATGATTTAGATATATTCGACTATCCGAAATATTTAGGTTCAAATCGAATTCGGTTCCGGTTATTTAGATATCTGAATCCGTTTCGAATATTTTAACCAGTCTCGAATTTGATATTATTTTTTTAGATCGGATTCAGTTCTTTGGGTTCAGATCTTTTGCCTAGCTTTATTTCATCCTTTCAATCTCTTTGGGTTCAAAAACAAGTCAATCTATTCCAGAACGAAACAATCTTAACAATATTTCCCCAACATGTATAAAACTAAAGCGAAACAATCTTAAATGTATTTTTTTTTTTTTTTTTTTTTTGTAACACCATAACAATCTTAAATGTATAAAACCAAAACGAAAAGAGAGAATCAGACAAAGGCAAACAGCTTCCCATCTTGGAGGATTATATCTTTACTAAAAAGCATCGTCATCACCATCAGGGAGAGGCTGAGTAGCTGCGGCAATGAGCTCAGCCTCATTCTTCTGCTGCTCAGCAACGTCAATGTGAACTTCCGGTGGAAGAAGAGCTGGTAACTCAACAAAGTGAAGATTCTGGTCACCAGCAAGCTTCCTAGCCAAGTACAAGAAAGGCTTCTCAAAGTTGTAGTTACTCTTGGCAGATATCTCATAGTATTGAAGATTCTTCTTCCTATGGAAAGTCACCTGCTTCGCCTTCACTTGCCTGTTCTTCACATCAACTTTGTTCCCACATAAAACAATAGGGATGTCCCCACACACACGGCAGATGTCCACGTGCTTCTGTGGAACACTCTTGTATGTTTCCCGTGATGTCACATCGAACATGATAACAGCACACTGGCTATGGACGCTGCAAGACATATATAAAAATATTAGAATTTTTTTTTAACAAAGCTTAAAAGTAATAGATTATTATTTAACCAAGTCAACCATGATCACGTCCTAACCAGAGCTTAGGGAAATAGATTCTACTTACTAGTAACCATCCCTAAGGCCACCGAGCTTCTCTTGACCAGCAGTATCCCAGCAGTAGAAACGGATCATACCACGGTTTGTGAAGAAATCTAGAGGATGAACCTCCACACCAATCGTAGCTGCAAAACACATCATCCAAAATCAATTCAAGAATAGAGACTATAGATTGTACATTCACGAGAGCATTCTATGTTATCTTAATTACTTACGTTCATACTTCTTCTCAAACTCTCCAGTAAGATGTCTCTTGACAAAAGTTGTTTTTCCTGTGCCTCCATCACCAACAAGGAGGAGCTTGAAGCTAGGGTAATCTACGGTTTGCTGGTTAGGTAGAGCCTGAGGAACATATCCATGCACAATGCAATTTAGAATAACAGAAGAACAAATTAAGGAAACAAAGACAGAGATGATGATACGAGAATAAGCTAGCGCGAAGAGAATGTTACCATGTTGTTGTCGGAATCGAGAGAATCAGGCGTTGTGTGTTTGTGTGCGCAGATGATGGGGTTTATAAAGAGAAAATAAGGAAGGGTTTTTTTCACGTGGGTCTGACGCTATTGTTAAGACCGTTAGGTTACCTTCTTATTTCGATGGTTCTGCAATTGTAACGCAGCTTTCTTTACCGTTGGATCTTTTTTCTGTAGCTTTAACTCTACGCGGTCTTTCCCACACATGACTCATATGGAATTATAAGGAAAAGAACCTAAAGGATTGATAGGAAGTAGGAACAATAAAAATGATTGGAAGTATAAGGAAAATAATCTAAAGGAATTATATGGAATTAATTAGAAGGAAATATTGGAGAGAGGGAATAACAAATTTCAAACAATAAATAATTTGATTATTAACTTTAAAAAATAATAATGGATGTAAAATTGTAAATGAGATTTTTGGTCTACGTTCATGTTTCCACGTTCATTTGGCTACATGCATATATCTCATAGCTACAAAACAAAATCTTGTGTTATTGAAAGTATTGGACTTTTTAAAAGATATAAAAATATATCAACATAATTCTAGTTATTAACTTAAATATCTCATTATACAGTTAATTGATTTGCTACTCCTTAAAATGCATGTCAACCTTATCTTTTTATGCATTAGAAAAATCAAAAATCAGAATAGTATTTTTGCTATTTTCAAAATTTTATCTTCAAACCTATTAATCATCCAACCGAATAAAATTTATAAATCATTAAACTATTAGTAAATTTTCGAAGTATAATAAAATTAAGCATATTCTCTTAAAAATATCTGAAGGATAAAATTTATAAATCATTAAACTATTAGTAAATTTTCGAAGTATAATAAAATTAAGCATATTCTCTTAAAAATATCTGAAGCCGACACGGTACGTAAATATATCTAAACAGAAACATCGAAAGTGTTTCTCTCTGATGAAAATATAAGTAGAAGAAGATTTTAGGTTGTGTTTTTTTATTAAACATTTTCTTTGTCTACTACGTTTCACTCAAATCTCAAAATCGCTCTAATACTAAACATCAGTCTCAGAACCGAATATAGAGCATTCAGAATATTTTGTTTTCGATGATTTCATTCAAATAGTTCTGAACAAATTACAAAAAGGAAAAAAAAAAATTAAAACATTTTTGGGTACACAAAAAAAGAAAAGAAATGAACCACACAATCCTCTAAAGTTTCTTAAAGGAAAAGAAGAAGAACAAGAAGACGATAAAGAGAGTGTTGCATCTTCTGTTGGCAGTTGTAACATGGCCATTAATGGTTTAAGTACTGTCTCTTTCGGTCCAATGGAAACCAGAATCTCTAGTGACACAGAGTCATCCTCTTGTGGCCACAGAAGCATCAAGATCAAAAAGTCTAACTTTCCAGCAAAAGGCTCAGAAGCTGGTGATGTTCATAGGTTAGAGCTGGATGCATACCGATGCAGCATTGAGAGATTGCACGCATCAGGCCCTAACATAACATGGGAACAAGAGACGTGGATCACAAATCTCCGTCTTAGACTGAACATCTCCAATGAGGAACATCTGATGCAGATAAGAAACCTCATCTCTGATGATAACAGTACAGCATACAGATAGCAAGAGCATCATTGACAACTACAACTTGTGTAACATTGAATAAAATGTTAGAGTGTAGGTTGTACAAATGTCATATTGAACATGTTTACTTTTTTCTTGTGATGTTGGACTTGAGGGAGACCTGCAAAGTATATATATAGTAGATGATTCCTGCAAGTTTCTGAGTTTCATATCTCATCACTGCAAAGTATATATATAGTAGATGATTCCTGCAAGTTTCTGAGTTTCATATCTCATCATAGGGGATGGGCGTTCGGATACCCATTCGGATTTAGTTCAGATTTGTTCGGATTTTTTTTTTCAAGGTTAAAATTTTTAGTCTTATTTAAGTATTTTTAAAAATTTAGTTCAGGTTCGGTTTAGGTTCGAGTAACCCGTATAAATTATTTTTAAAATTCATATATATTTTAAATTTCTCAAAATCTAAAAATAAAATTATTATATAACACAAATTTGAATAATGTTGGGCATAATAATAAACTTAACATAAAAATTGATTTAGCTTGATATTTGAATGGATAATCAATAAGATATTTTAGGTAATTTTGGTGTTTTGAGTCTATGAAACATGGGGACGTCTGTTTAGTAACCGTACCCGTATCCGTACTGGAAACGTTTTGAGGATGGGAACACCACGGAGACGTTATGGGGACATCTTGGGGACGTTAAGATAAATTATTGGTTAAGTGAAACTAGTTTCCCCGGAATCTAATATTTGTGTTATTGTTATTTTGCTTGATTCTAAGTAAAAAAACTTACAGCAAGATCCAAAGGAGCAAGCTTTGGCTTGAAAGCCTTGAACATGTCGACTTTATCTCTCTTTTTCCTTAGAATTAGACTAAAGTTTGTTTCCTATGAAGTTTTTTTCTCTTTTTTTTGTGTGTTTTAGATGGCAAAGGTGGTTATTATGGTTAAGAAAATGACATTATGTTTGAAGTATTGTATTATTTAGATTTATGACCTAAGTTTTAATTTTACATTATATAGTTAATATATTTTTACTAATGTATATGCTGTTCCCGTTTCTATAAATTTTTGGATTTGCCATCCCCATCCCGTCCCCGTATATGTCCTCGTATCCATTCCACTGCAATATAATTTTGAGTATTGTTTGACTATTTTATATATTTACTTTAACAATTTGTATATATTTTCAAATATGTTGGAGTCAGCTTCAAATATTTTATACATTCTAGATTTTTTTTGGGATATAAACTCAAAAATAGTTAATATTCAAGTATATAAATTTGATTCAGATATATTTGGATATCCGAAATATTTAGATTTAGATCGGGTTCAGTTCTAGTTCTTTAGATCCCAAAAGTTTGAGCCTGTTTGGATATTTAATAACTTCAGTTCGAAATCGGTACACTATCAGATCGGATTTGGCTCTTCGGTCCCTATCTCATCCTTTCAATTTCTTTGGGTTCTAAAACAAAACAAATCAATCTATTCCAGAACGAAACAATATTTCCTCAAAATGTATAAAACTACAACGAAACAATACTCTTAACAATATATTCCCAACATGTATAAAACAAAAACGAAAAAGAGAGAATCAAACAAAGCAAAACAGCTTCCCATCTTGGAGGATTATATCTTTACTAAAAAGCATCATCATCACCATCAGGGAGAGGCTGAGTAGCTGCGGCAATGAGCTCAGCCTCATTCTTCTGCTGCTCAGCAACGTCAATGTGAACTTCCGGTGGAAGAAGAGCTATTGACTGAACAAAGTGAAGGTTCTGATCACCAGCAAGCTTCCTAGCCAAGTACAAGAAAGGCTTCTCAAAGTTGTAGTTACTCTTGGCAGATATCTCATAGTACTGAAGATTCTTCTTCCTATGGAAAGTCACCTGCTTCGCCTTCACTGTCCTATTCTTCACATCAACCTTGTTCCCACACAGAACAACAGGGATGTTCTCACACGTACGGAAGAGATCACGGTGCCATGATGGAACCTTCTCGTATGTGATCCGTGATGTCACATCAAACATGATAACAGCACATTGGCTATTGATGCTGCAAGTCATATATAAAAATATTAGAATTTTTTTTTTTTTTGAACAAAGCTTAAAAATATTACTCGATTATTATTTAACCAAGTCAACCATGATCACATCCTAACCAGAGCTATTCAATACTAAGCAGATGATCTTAGGGAAAAAGAATTCTACTTACTAGTAACCTTCCCTAAGGCCACCATGCTTCTCTTGACCAGCAGTATCCCAGCAGTAGAAACGGATCATGCCACGGTTTGTGAAGAAATCTAAAGGATGAACCTCCACACCAATTGTAGCTGCAATAGTACACATCATCCCAAAATCAATTCAAGAATAGAGACTATAGATTATACATTCAAGAGCAGTTTCATGTTATGTTATTACTTACGTTCATACTTCTTCTCAAACTCTCCAGTCAGATGTCTCTTGACAAAAGTTGTTTTTCCTGTGCCTCCCTCACCAACAATGACGAGTTTGAAGCTAGGGTAACCTACGGTTTGCTGGTTAGGTAGAGCCTGAACAAAACATATCCACGATCAATTTATAAACCAAGACATAGATGAGGAAACGAGAATAAGGAAGAAGAGAATGTTACCATGTTGTTGTCGGGATCGAGAGAATCAGGCGTTGTGTGTTTGTGTGCGCAGATGATGGGGTTTATAAAGAGAAAATAAGGAGGGATTTTTGGCGTAGGTCTGACGCTACTCTTAAGACCGTTAGGTTGCTTTCTTATTTTGTTGGTTATGCAATTGTAACGCAGCTTTCTTTACCGTTGGATCTTTTTTTTAGCTTTAACTCTACGCGGTCTTTCCCACACATGACTCATATGGAATTACAAGGAAAAGAACCTAAAGGATTGATAGGAAGCAGGAACTATAGAAATGATTGGAAGTATAAGGAAAAGAATTTAAGGGAATGATATGGAATTAATTAGAAGGAAATACTGGAGAGAGGGAATGACAAATTTCAAACAATATGTAATTTGATAATTAACTTTAAAAAATAATAATGTACTAGATTTTTGATCTGGGTTTTTTATATGTGGATATTATTTTTGTTGTTATAGCTATAAATTGATAAAAACAACTTTTGTTTTGATAATATTAAATGTTACATGATCAACATCAAGTTTCAATTATGCGGGTATGAAAAAGTTTTAAAAAGCACAGATATTTTTTTGTTGACCGTAAAATCAAATATTAAATGAATTTGTAACTATTGTTATATATCTATAATATTTAAGAGTTGTTCTATTATTATTGTTTCAGTTTAGTACAAAGTTTTCATTGAATTTTCATATCCGCGTGAAACTTATTGATCTATTTGTTGATATATTAATAAATATTTGACTTGGATATGAATAAATATTTTTCTGCATAACATTTGATTACGAATTTGTGTTATTTGTAAGTTTTCGAAATCTATTCGAAGATTAAGATCAGGTATCTATAATATTAATTTTTTATTAAATTTATTTGTAAGTATATTAACTATCAAACTAAATAAATAGAGAAAAAATTATTACTCATTTTCTTTTAAATTTTTATTGATAGTATCTATTCTAAAAATATTTTTTTTTTTAAAAACAGTTTTTAGACAAATATTTTATTATTAGAAATCTACATTATTTTTGATCTGGAAAGACAAGTATATGAGAATAATAGCATATTATTAATAAGTATTTCTTGCCTTTTATTATTTTTAACTTATGGTAATAAATTTATTGGCATGAGTCAAAATTTATTAGTATAGATTATTTTTTTTTTATGCATACATTTGAAATCATTAATGATTTATATGGTCATATATATTTTTCATTTCAGTATTTTTAATCAATATTTACTTTCTTATTATTATTTTCAGATTTTTATCACGAAAATATTTTTATTATTGATTTTGATTGTTCTGAATAACAAAATGGTTTTATTTTTGATTGATAAAAATATAATAAAAAACTAAATAAGATATTGACCCATTAATCAAATCTATTAAATAGATATTGATTATATTTAATTATATAGTTTTTAAGTCCAAAAACAAAAGTCAATAATATTATTAATGAAAATTTTAATTTATTCATATCCTTAAAGGTAATTTTAGAAAACGTAGATATTTCATTAAAAGAATGATCCATTTTTAATGGTATTGATGTAAAATTTGTAAATGAAATTTTTGGTCTACGTTTCATGTTTCCACGTTCATTTGGCTACAATGCACTCAGGGCTACAAAACCTTATGTTATTTACTTTTTTCTTCATTTTCGATTCTACTGGCTAAACTTACATAATATGGATGTTCTGGTCTGCTGACGTGTAAAAAGCCTAAACTTATATCTTTTTGTAATTATATTTGCATTAGAAGAATTATGGCTTCTTTGCGTGCTAAAGTGACCAAATTTAAGGTATAAAAACAATTTATGTTATCCTTTTTATGTTCAAAATTGAATATTTTGAGTTTCTAGTCATTTGATGTTGATGAAATTATTTAAACAGATTGTTTTCCCCTAATCAATATCTCAGTAATGAAGATTGATCCTAAACATTGAGTCATCACACTTTCAGTTTGATTTAACGATTGAGGACTTTTCTGCAATCTAGTGATTGTGAAGCAAAATAATCTTGAAAATGTTTATGACAATAGAATTGAAGTTGAAATTTCTGTATGTCAAAGATTGTCATTGGATCTACTGCTCCAACTTACTTTCTGGATCATCCTAAAGTACTTACTTCCTGCTTCATTGGATGTCTGCTTTGTATCTTGTTTTGTGGTTTCAACTAAGAAGGAATGTTAAATTATGGAGAAAGATTGCAATCGTATCCAAGGTTTTGGAGGAAGATTGTGTCTTGGTTAGATTACTTGGTTCCTCACTGAACGTCAGAGCAAATAAATCCGATATTCGGGTTAGACAATCTTGGCAAATCATGGTCGGGCAAGTACCCGTCGTTTCTGTCCTACTATCATTATATATGTTTCAAAGTCTTCTTATTAAGCTGACATATTGTTTATAACATTTTGGCTGAAGGGTACACCACAGGTTTCAAGAGGAAAGTTAGGGAGAAAGGTGAATCTAAAAGGACAATATGTTGCATGTGAGAGCAAAGACAAACTCAATGAGTCGATAAAAGAAACCTGGATCACAAATCTCCATCTAAAACTGAACATCTCCAATGAGGAACATCTGATGCAAATAAGAAACCTCATCTCTGATGATAACAGTACCAACATATAAGATAGCAACATCATTCACTACTACAACTTAGTTTTTATCTTGTGGAGTTGAACTTGAGGGAGACCTACAAAGTATAATCTATGATTGATTCCTGCAAGTTTCATGTTTCATATCTCATCCTTTAATTCAAAAAACAAGTCCTCTATTCCAAAACGAAACAATCTCAATTTAATTCTACCAGACTTGAATCATTTTATATGTTAACATCAATGCAACATGGAAAAGAAACCAAAAACACAAGAGAGAATCAGAGACAAAAGCAAACAAGCTTCACCCCTAAAACACACAACATAGTGGAAGAAGCTCCTTTTACTCAAAAACATCATCATCATCATCAGGGAGAGGCTGAGCCGCAGCAGCGATAAGATCAGCCTCGTTCTTCTGCTGCTCAGCAACGTCAATGTGAACCTCCGGTGGAGCAAGAGCTGGTGACTCAACAAAGTGAAGATTCTGATCACCAGCAAGCTTCCTAGCCAAATACAAGAAAGGCTTCTCAAAGTTGTAGTTACTCTTTGCAGATATCTCATAGTACTGAAGATTCTTCTTCCTGTGAAACGTCACCTGCTTCGCCTTCACTTGCCTGTTCTTCACATCAACCTTGTTCCCACATAACACAATTGGTATGTTCTCACAGACACGGCAGAGGTCACGGTGCCACGTGGGGACGTTCTTGTATGTGAGCCGTGCTGTTACATCGAACATGATAACAGCACATTGACCATGGATGCTGCAAATTAAAAATAACTAAATAAATTAGATTGATGTATAAACTAAATAAAAACCGTTATAACAGAACAACCAGATCTAAAAAACTTACTAGTAACCATCTCTAAGACCACCAAACTTCTCTTGACCAGCTGTATCCCAGCAATAGAAACGGATCTTGCCACAGTTTGTGAAGAAATCTAGAGGATGAACCTCAACACCAATAGTAGCTGCAACACACACATCCCAAAATCAAATTAATTCAAAAATAGAGACAATAGATAATACATTCACGGGGAGACTATGTTATGTTAATTACTTACGTTCATACTTCTTCTCGAATTCTCCAGTAAGATGTCTCTTGACGAAAGTTGTTTTTCCTGTGCCTCCGTCACCAACAATGACGAGTTTGAAGCTAGGGTAATCTACGGTTTGCTGGTTAGGTAAAGCCTGGAACAAAACATATTTAGAATTAAAAAAAAAGACATAGATGATGATGAAACAAGAATAAGCGTGGAGGGAATGTTACCATGTTGTTGTCGGGATCGAGAGAATCAGGCGATGTGAGTTTTGTCTGTGAGATGAATGATGTTTATGGAAGAGTAGCGGCGAGATTGGGGGTTTTTAAAAGAGGAAATAAGGAAGGGTTTTTTCGCTTAGGTCTGACGCTATTCTTTTGACCGTTAGATTTACTTCTTTTTGTTGGTCTTTCAATTGTAACGCAGCTTTTTCCACCGTTGGATTGTTTTTAGCTTTAGTTTCACGCGGGTCTTTTCCGACACACATGACTCATTGTTTTTATTATTTTCCTAAAAATGTTATTTATTATTCCCTTATCAATATTTGAAATTTAAACTTCCTCAATATATACGTTACGATTGACTAATATACTCCTACTATCAATATATTTCTACTGCAACAAGAAATTATAAAATTTATTATCATCTTACCGTATCTGACCAGTGTTTGTAACATACTGATTCAAATTAATCCAGTGTCATATATATATATATATATATTTTTTTTTTATTTTACAAATTTGAGAGCTTATGTTTAGGACCGATCAGGTAGCGATTTAAGAAAGTGCATGTAAGAATTGTAAAGGAGAAAATAAAACTTTGACGGAGATGATTACGGTGGCATGGTGGTGAAACGCTCACATTCAAATCAATGGCGATTCTTTTGTGAGTATGTGACACTTAAAAACTTTTAGTCTACCCCTATATTACAAGTTTGCACATATTTCGATCCTATTCCATATGAGATTACACCTCTTGCTTTGTTTGCTCCTTGATCTTAACTGTTTCTGTTATATCTGTGTACTATTTGGTGGATTCATGTACAGACTAGCGTTTAGGCAGTAACAAACTTTGTTTACAAACGCTTAAAAACAAACTTTGTACTGAACATTTGTAAATTATGATATATATAATACATAAGTAATAAAATTTCTAATCACTAATTGTATTTTAATTATTACCTCTAAAATATGTAAGAGAAAGTTTTAAAATCTCTTTTCGTTAACATTTATTTCATTAATTGCACAAGATAATTTACAACACAAATCCGAGTATTAATGACATGATTTCTTTAAGTACATAAGTTCTTGATTTTTTTTATTTGTGTATCTTATAGAAATGCTTATTTATATTTTTGTATATTAACGTGTCTAGTCCCTTTATATTTGTCCCCAGGATTGCCCAAATCCAGAAATAGCCATGGCCGATGAACAGAAATGCAGAAGCAACGCCGTAGTACTCTACTTAGCATAGCTCATTGGTACTCGGAGCCTGTCATGTTTGGAAAGAAAACCTTTCAAAGTCCAAATCTTTAAAAAGAGAAAAGATTCGTAATCGTGAATTGGCGTTGGGCTCTGAAAATTTCTCTGCCTTTTTTTTGGTAATCTGTGTTTTCGAACTTCTAAATTTTTCAAAGTTATCATCCCTAGGCTAGGAGACACACAACAAATCAACAGTATTTACTAAATAATAATTAAAAAAAAATCAATGTAAATACATAATTTTAATCACTATTTTCAAAATGTACCTTTTTTGTTATTCAAATACATTTAGTAAAATATTATATATATATTTATATATATAAATAATTGGTTATAAGTAATTAGTAGTTTGTGTTTTTTTCAAAAATCAGTAAATAACTCATATATATTTTTCTTTACGATACAAAAATTTGACTGTTTCTATAAACAATTTAGTAAGAAATAAATAAACACCAATATAATTACCACAAAATAGGTCAAGCAAATCTAACCATTTTGTATGGATCGCCACACAAGACATGCAATACTTTGATCTATAAATTAATCAATCTTAAAAGGAGTTTTCAACCATCAAACCAGTAAGTTTAAATCCAAAAGAATTCATAACAAACGTCTGAATCATAGACAATATGTCGTCATCACAATTCGCTATTTTTTGCATCATCTTGATTGCTTTATTTCCTCTTCATGAATGTATGCATTTATAATAATTTTCATATTGTTCACCATTTGTCTTTTTCACTATTATAATTCCATCATAATATCATTGATATTTGTTTTTCTCCAAATGATATTGTTTTTACTTTTTTTGTTTATATAGCTGTCGATAGCCAAGATTTTCAAGCGGGCGGAAAACCTACACCTAAAGGAATTTGCAACAAAACCATATGCCCAAAACTCCAAAGAAAAGATAAGACTTGCTTTTGTTGTGCCTCCGATAAGGCTTGTCATGGGACCGAAATAAGATGTCAAAATTGGTGTAAACCATAAGTTATCTCGAGAACCTAAAGAAAACCTGAATAACCATTTTATTTAATTTGTTTTTTTTTGATTAATCTAAGAGTATTCGAGATGTATGAAAAGGTCTAGAATAATCTCCATGGAGAAGTGCAGCAGCCCACGGATAACATGTTCATTTTATTTAATTCTTCCTAATACCTACTTTGTTTTAGATGAATAAAACATGTTTATCTGGAGCCCAACAAATACGATGTATGCGGATTGTATTTGTGTTTAGAGATTTTCATATTCTAGTCTATGCAATGCGCATAAGTTAAACTTATTTCCTCTCCTTCTGTTTTAATTTGTTATTAATTTTTTTAATATTTTTCTGGGTTTCCCTAATAGTTAACAATAAGGTTTTAAAATTATAAAATTTATTATCATCTTACCGTATCCGACCAGTGTTAGTAACATACTGATTAAATTAATACTGCCAGTGTCATATATGTTTTATTTTACAAATTTGAGAGTTTATGTATATGTAAACTTTTTAGAATATCAAAAATTATAAATGCTCATACTTCACTAGTGAAGCGCTCACATTCAAAGCAATGGCGATTCTTTTGTGAGTCTGTGACACTTACACTTTTAGTCTATCCCTATATTACAAGTTTGCACATAGTTCGATCCTATTCCATATGAGATTACACCTCCTGCTTTGTTTGCTCCTTAATCGAAACTGTTTCTTATACATAGTGTACTCAGGCGTGGCCCAGTATATATCACTGCCTAAAGCAAAACAAAATTTGGCGCCCCAATGAGATTCGAACTGGACACCTTTAACTCATCGCCCTAATGAGATTCGAACTGGGCACCTTTAACTCATCTAGGCGATAGACAACCACTAGGCTACAAGAAACTTTTGGTAAATGTGATGCCCACAAATATTTAACCTATTTTGGCGCCTAAAGCGGGTGCTTTCCTAGCTTTAGGTCAGGGCCGGCCCTGAGTGTACTCTTTGATGGATTTGTATTTTATTAGAAATGAAATCGGAACTGGTATGCTTACATTCAGGTACAGTAACAGACTAGCGTTTAGGCAGTAACAAACTTTGTTTTCAAACCCTTAAAGTACAAACATAAAAGATTTTTGGAAATAACAGAGAGATTCCTACTTCAAAAGCTTACGCAAAGACATGTTTTTCTCTGCGTCTTTCTTCATAGCCTTCACCACTGCCATCTCGAAAGTCTTCCTGTGTCACGTGTACCCGCCTCCGTGCACACAGCCTGACCATAACATCCAATAACATAAATTGCATATGTTTAGGCTCCAAACAAATAATAAGTAATTGGTGTTTCAAACAAAGAAGAAAATCAGTTAATAACACATATGTAATATTGTTGCGATATAATTACCACACAAAAGTTTGACTATTTCCATAAACAAATATAATTACCACAAAACAAGTCAAACAAATCTAACCAATTTTTAGTATGGATTGTCATGCAAGACATGCATTGCTAGCTTACATCTCTGATCTATAAATTAACTGAGAAACCTATCAATTAAATATCATCTTAAATAGAAATTTCAACTATCAAACAGTGAATCTAAACTTTAAAAGAAATAATAATAGATGTGTGCATCGTAACTTTGTAAGAATATCACAAAGAACAATATGTCATTATCACAGTTTGCTATCTTTTGCATCATCTTAATTGTTTTATTTCCTCTTCATGAACGTATGCGTTTATATTAGTTTTCTTTTGTTCATAATCCATTTTTTTTGCTAATGTAACAACATCATAGTGGTTAAATTTATGGGACCGCTTCTGGACAAATGATTAATCCTTTAAAGTCTTCAATCATTTTTGGGAAAAGCGTCACTGACGATCCAAAAAAGGATATCAAGAGAATTTTAGGTATCGATAAGGAAGGAGGAGAAGGTAAATATCTTGGTCTCCCTGAATGTTTTCAGAGTTCCAAAATAGATCTGTTAAATTTTATCAAAGAGAAATTAGAAGGTAGATTACAAGGTTGGTATTCCAAAACCTTATCAATGGGGGCTAAGGAAGTTTTAATAAAATCGGTTGCTTTAACTCTCCCAATATATGCAATGTCAGTATTTCGCCTACCTAAAGGTCTTTGTGAACGACTTACGAGTGCGATTATTGAATTTTGGTGGAGTAGTGGGGATAAAAAAAGGAAGATCCCCTGGGTGGCATGGGAAAAATTATGTAAACTAAAAGAACAAGGAGGTCTCGGGTTCCATGATATTGGTCGGTTCAACCAGGCTTTACTTGGAAACAAGCTTGGCGAATTTGGAATAATCCCGATTCTTTGGTCTCGCGCATTCTTAAAGGCAAATATTTCAAAAATGGGAATTTTTTGGACTGCGGCATGGGCACACGGCCATCGTATGCATGGAGAAGCATCATGCATGGTAGAAAATTACTAAAAAAAGGTTTATATCAACATATCGGCAATGGGGTTGATACCAATGTTTGGGCGGAAAACTGGATTATCGATACCATTCCTCGGTCACCAATGTATCGGGAAAATAGTTCCATAAATCTAGCGCTAAAAGTTTCCGATCTCTTTATTCCGGGTTTGAATTAGTGGAATACAACTTTATTACATCAGACTTTTACGGCAGATGATGCTCAACGGATTTCACTTTTGAAACCATCATTGATGGTTGACGATACACTCAGATGGGGTTTCACAACGAGTGGTTCTTATTCGACTAGGAGCGGGTACAAGCTGTTAGAAGCTTTGGTTGAATATGATCATCCCTCAGGTCATTCCCTCACTCCTATTGAAATACAATTATGGAAGGAGGTATGGAAAGTTAAAGCTCCACCAAAAATAAAACATTTTATGTGGCGGGCTCTATCTGGTGCTCTAGCGGTGAAACAACGTTTGGCTACTCGGGGTATCCCGATAGACCAAACATGTTCGGTCTGCGGTACTGAGGCGGAGAGTATATGTCATGTGCTTTTTACATGTACGAAAGCACGCATAACATGGCAGCAAGCTAATTTTGCATTACCTTTAAATGGCT